TTTCAGCGGGGAGCTTTGAGGCATAACTGCGCGGGGTCGGCAGGGCTTACCGAGTGCGTCTCATTGATCCCGTCGCTCCTGGTAAAATCCACTTAGCTTCGGGCCACTACGACGCTGCTGGTTGCTCTTCCCTCAAGGGGGCCCCCCTTGAGGTTTTGGGGGACGCAGTGCCTTTGCGTTGCCCCTCAAAAGCCCCGTTCAGCTCGGAGAAGTCAGAGAGCAACCTCTCCGCGCTCCCGCACCGCAGGCGATCCAAACCGGAACGCCCAGTAAGATCAGATGTTCAATTTCAGAGCAATGCTTTCCCAGACAGGTTTGTCTTCTGGAGCCAGTGGAATGCCAATACTGATGGGCCTCTCACATTTCAGAAATCAGTAAATACATAAGTACTACCTAGTTCAGATCCCATGAGTATTAGACTGATTCTTTTAATATAGTTGACAAATCAATGTGGAAATGGAATGAAAAAGACATGAGTGAATAGATGTGAAAGTGACATGGACTGAGAATAGACTAATTTGCTAGTCCTTAAATAGCTTCAAGTGATGTGTCTGGGTCTGTTTGTTTGCTTTTCTTAGGTGAACTACAATGTTACATTTTTGAATCATGAAATTTTCTGAGCAACCACATCAGCCATCTGATCAAGAATCAGACCGTATGTATGTGATTGAATGAAAGGCCACAGCCTCCTAACTGAATACAACTGCTCCCATAATATGACTAACATCTATAAACAATGAAGTGGTTTTAGAATACTTGGTAGGACAAGAGTATCAATTAAAAGTGCTTTCACAACACAGTCTTCCCAATGTTCATGAGTTAAACTCTTTTGGCTTCCTTCCTTCAGTGGAAAAGCCTGCCTGACAAGACTTGTCATAGAAGCCTTTCATGTCCCTGAGTGCAAAGAATTAACATCTCAACTTGAGTTAAGTAAATCTAGTGATAATAATGTGCTCATCTTATGATTATTTTTTTTTAAAAAAAGCTGATATAAGACATCTTTTCTTATTGTCTGCAGCCTGCTACAACTGATGCATTGAGTTGTCAAACGTGTAACTACTGGCCCTGAGACTATAAATTTCTACATGCTGCAGACAATACTCTTTTTTTACATGCTGGTTGCCACATAAGGGGTTTAATTTCTTGTAACAAATATGTTTACTTGCTGTGGCCTGAAAAGACTTTTATGTTTTTAAAAATGTATAGGGCCATTTATTTTTAAAAAAGAAAGGAAAATATGACAATGTACTAATCCTGAGTCAGTTTATGGGAAACATGTAAGGTCAAATAAAACTTGGTGATGCCTAGACCTGTACATGCATCCAGAATTAACAGCTTTAATAGAAGAACACATCAGCCAGAAACGTCATTGTCTGGGAAACAAAATTCTGAGGACCTACTGGTATATCATCAGTATGGCTGAGTCAAGCATCTCCCTCTTTTCCCCAGTTACTTTTGACCCTCACTGGGAATAAATGTGACAGCGTTCTTCAAAGCCCTTTCCTTCCACATTGTCCCTCACTGCCATATAATGTGATTGGCTATAGTGGCCCATATGCTTTTGTGGGTTACTGTCAACTATAGGATTTTGTTACCTTCCACATCTAATATAATGTGAGCAGCTGATTTCACTACCCTACAGGATTCAGTGGGCAAAAGAGTCTGAGCGCAGTTAAGGAGAAATATGGCCCTGATATTGGCCACCTCATGAGAAGAAAAGACACCCTGGAAAATACCCTATGCTGGGAAAGACTGAGGGCACAAGAAGAAGGGGACGACAGAGGACGAGATGGCTGGACAGTGTTCTCGAAGCTACCAGCATGAGTTTGACCAAACTGCGGGAGGCAGTGGAAGACAGGAGTGCCTGGTGTGCTCTGGTCCATGGGGTCACGAAGAGTCAGACACAACTAAACGACTCAACAACAACAACATGGCACTGACAAGCAGCCAGTTTAGCTTTGCCAAGTACCCTCAAAACAAGCTGGAGGTTGCTGAGCTTTTTAAAAAATCACTTACCGTATTTAGCTGCACTAGAAACAATTCAGTGCTAGACTCTAATCTTATGAGTTTCCCCTCAGAAGCCTGGACTTACTTAGGTGGGACTGGTGCAAATTGTGTCAATCAACTTGCAAGTAAGTGCTTAGCAATTTTAACCTTGGGAATCCTTTCCACCAGTTTTAGGTATATAGAAAGCTGCCTTCTCTCAGGCCAAGCTATTTGCAAGGGACTCTATTTAATCTGGTTGGCAGCACCTCTCCAGTGGTGTCATGCCAAAGCCTTTCCTACCCTGACCTTCTAGCTGGAAATGCCTGCAATTGAATCAGGACCTTCTACATGCAAAGCATCTGCTCTACCAGTGAGCTTTATGGTCTCCTTCCTCTGAAGCTCTTCTTCCAAGTCATGGCTCAGCCCCTTAGCTGAGCTATACAGTAGCTATCACAAACAGCTTCAACAACCCATATCACCAAAAAAATTCATGAAGGGAATAGAAGAGTAAAGGGGGAGGCACAGCAGTCTGTGTCATTTATGGGCAATACAAAAGCAAGGAATTTAACTGCACATTTAATGGCTACATTTTAAGTAACAGAAATCAGTGCAGCTCCAGAAAAGCATATGTGCTGTTAGGATAGGGATTAGACATTAATTAGCACTGGGCTGCAGTAATATGAAGAGAGTGGGAGAGCCAAGAAGGGCAAATGAAAAAGACAGTATTTTCAAGGTAGGGCAAAATCTATGAATTTGTTCTGGGGGAGGAGTGAGACTTACTATTCTGAAAGAATTTACTATGATAGCACGGAGTGCATCCATCTCTTTCTTTTGTTTAATAAAAGCTTTGACACCACAGCATGCAGCAAAGGAGATACAATCAGCAGAGCAGCATTGTTATAATGTGTTCCATAGGACGGTCCAGTAGAAACAACTGTTTGTCACCATGTAGCATCCATCATTCCTTGGGGCTTTGCCAGGAGACAAAATGGCTGCCTCATGAGGCCCTTCAGGGAGTGAAATGGCCCCATGAAAGTTGCAGGATTTACCCCAGTGCTAGCATTAATGCATGTTTCCAATGTACATTAATACATTTCCAAAGTCTGAAAGCAGCTGTTGGTAGTATGCAGGCAACACGCCTCTTTTAAAAATTAAAAATACCACTTAACCATAAGAGGTTTACTAGTGTTTTGTGGTTTTACACTAGCACTATATATTGGGTCACCAAAAACAAAAAACCCAGATGCAGTTTTGAATGCAACACACAGTTCTGAGTGGAAAACTTAGGCTTGTGTAATAAAAACAAGGAGCAATCAAATTGGAGTAACTATATGGAATGACAAATAACAAAACCTGACCTGAAAAACACATGATTCATTTTTTGAAAAATGCCAGAACATGCAACAATTCATTTACAGTTCATTTCAGTTCTTCTTTGACAACAAAGAAGCAGCAGATCTGCTTGCTGGTTTTCTGCATAACAATCTAATGAAGCAATTAATCTGTGTTTTTTTGCTTCATTAATCTGTTACTTTCTTATTCTTCTGCTTTTTTTTCTTCACAATATTCTTACTATTTAAGAACTGCTTGTAACATTTTCAGGTTCTAACTATTCTCTTTCTACTCTGAGTCTGATCTTTGACAGTTAAGAGAGTCTCCACTTCTCCGTAAATGTACAAATGGCCAGAGACCTGGAAATATTAAATCTGGAATGTACTTAAAATATGAATTTTGGCATGGTTTTTTCACTGCGCCGGCTGCAGGAGAAATGCTGTCAGCAGGGATCCCCCCCCCCTTGTATGTTGCCTTCACAGACCCAATTAAAGCCTTTGACCTCATCAGCCAAACAGGACTCTTCACACTGCTCAACAAGATAGGATGCCCATCTAAGCTCTCAACCAAACCCTGATTCAGGCAGGTACTTATATAAGTTTCTTCCTCCTCTCAAGTAGCCTCACTTGAACTGCTAGTAAGCCACTTTGCCAAAAGCCTGGCTCATCATCTCTCTGCTCCTGTGGGGAACGGTTCCAAGAACGTTTCAAGAGCTTTCCACGAACATAGGGAACTGGTGTGAAGACACCTCAATCTAGATCAGGTATGCTTGGATGCAATAGCTCTTGGGGGTTGCTGGTGTTCTGCTCCTTCTCCAAGGAGGCCTCAGGTTCCCTGTCTGGGCAGAGTTGAACCCTGACACTCATTCGCCTTGCTCAGTTCCTGCACTCTATACTCTCTCCAACATAATAAGCCAATCCTGCCTCTTCCTCCTCCCAGATGATGCATCATACCAAGTTCATACTTCTCTGATACTTCTTTGTGAAGTCCATCTGGGGTAAAGCACTTGGATCCTTCACTTATGGATCCTTCACTTAAGCTCAGCCACTTTCAATTTCTCCTGTTATAAAATGTGTGACAAAGCCAAACAATGCTATGTTTTGATGCTGACAGAAAAATATACTCAGCATTTATGATACTTCAGGTTTGCTTTCTAATACCAGAAGCAACTAAAATCACTGAGCTGCTTTGATAATTCGATACCATAGGACAACAAGTATCTGAAAATTTACTTTTATATATATATAAAATATTATGTTACTACTGGTGAGCAGACTCAAACCAATTATATTCTTATGGACAGGTTGAGTTAATAAAAGACAACCATAATAAATTATACTTGAAGAGAACAGCTATCTAAACAAAAACCCTAAAGTGCATTAAAAAAGCAATTCCTCAGAAACATTACTTTTAATAGTTGAATCGGGACTCTTCAGAAATGCTATGAAAGCAAAAGGAGGAAAGAAAACCATAACAAGAGGAACAAAAAGGCCAAACGGAAAGAGGAAGGAAAACGTTTAGATTATTTGAGTGATGGAAATAAATAACAAAGCTATTAGTTTCAGTTCAAAGAGCATATCGCTTGTATTGTTTATTCTTTCTTTTGAACATTTATTTTATCTTGAAAACTGGAACAGTAAAAGCGTAAGCGTGAAGGTAAAGGAAGGAGAGACATGACTGACCTGTTCTGGAGAGGGTCTGTGGTTGGAGTGCTGTGTCCTCCCAGGAGATCTGTGATGGTGGTGGTGGTGATGGTGGTGGTAGTGGTGATGGTCATCATCATAGTTGTCTGCCATCAGCTTCATCCTGTTCTGCGTCTGTCAGGATTGAAGCAAACAAAAGGCCACTAAGTGCTAAAATGTACTAATCAAAATTAAATGGTAGCTGGGTCTGCATTAGAACACTGATCCACGCCAACCCCCAAATAGCTGGTTCTAAATTTCATTTGAAGTTCTGAGATGTAACTCTTATGCCTACCTGCACATCTTGTGTCCAGCCAAGCTGACCAAAGCCAACTAGTGCTTATGGCAGCCTGCCAGGCAGACCTCCATTGCCTTGGACCTAGAAGGCCACATGTACCTTAGACCTAGTAAGCTACCTATTCCATACTGCGTAAAAAATGCAAGTTGAAGTTACAGCCTCATTTGAGCAAGAAGCTCCTCCCTTCTAACTTCCGTGGCAGTTGAGTAGACAAGTATTCTTCCTTTCCAGTTTTAATTCAGCACATTTGAACTTGGTGTCTTTTTCTGTTGCTGCAGATTTAGCCGGTCTACCAGCAGCTGGAAAAGAATAATTGGGGGCACACTTACAGTGTGTGCCTGATCTTGCTTGTCAGCTTCACCTGCCTGCCACCTTACATCAAATGATGACATTTAATGAACAGGTGGGCCTGATTTGGGCCAAAGCAGACCACAACCAAATGAGGAGACCTGGCAGGTCTAACAAAATACTTGGCAGACTGGAGATTCCTCTAGGGGTTGGGTGCAGGATCATTCCTGCATGTCAAAATATCTGTGATAATGTAGTAGACATTGGGTTTTCTGTTCAGGTTCTCTGGAGTCCGATCTGGGGACCAGCAGAGCCCAATGAAGCAGGGAAAACATCCCTATACATAAAACAAGTATATTTCTTTACTGTGATACAGCCATGGAACTCAATTGCAAGAGCAACCCTATGATGTACATAATGTATGAATTGACCCTAATAGAGGGGTTAATGCAACATTTTTCTTGAAGGCCAAAAATGTTATCTAGGGCAATGTGGGTTTACTTTTCCCTAAATGACTGAAGTCATAATTTAATATGAATTGGCGGCTGGCATCCTAAATTGGAGCAACCCGTAGAATAAAGAAAGCTTGTTACTGACCTGCAGTTGAATATTCTTTATTGAGTCTTAAACATAGCAACAAATCACATGGTGAAAACACCTTTCCAATCTACACAGTGCCAAGTATTCTAATATAGTTCAAAGACAGACACTACCCAAAATATATATGTTTCCAACAAGAAGCGTTTTTTTCTACCAGGAAGGAGGAGGAAGATGCTCTTAGGTTCTTACCAATGAAGTTCCTGACAAATATCACTTTGGTTACTGTAAGCCTTACAATTTATTTCCGCTTTGGGAGAAATTCTTAAAGTTTTATTTGTTTATTTTCTTATCAATGAACGGCCTTAAATTTCCTACCTTTCAACTGTACCCTTTAAAAATGTACTAGTTAAACAAGATGATATATGCAATCCTGAAAATGTTTCCTGTAATGAGGTGTTGGGGATTAGTCTTGTTATGGGGTAAGAACTGTGAATGGATGATGCCATCTTCTTAATTTGGTGCTGAAATATAAATAAACCACTTTTAATATTTCTTCCTGAGGAATCTAAATCATAGAAAAAGCAGGCACAAGACTACTGCTAAGAGCAAATCCCACACTTTTTATGTCTCTTGATTGTAGTCTCGGGACAAGATTATTTGTTTAGGTAAGTTATTGCTTGGCAAGGATGATGCGGGGGGGGGGGAATCTGAGACTGTGTTTTGGTTTCTCTCGTGGTTCAGTTATAAGAAAATTTCTGTACTGAACTACTCTTTGACTGGGACATTTCTTCTACTTTAAAATATGGACTCCTATCGTCTTCTGTGGTTTGAAGCTTTGAAACATGCCACAGTGATATGGGATTTTTGGGGGAGGGGAGTAAAAAGCAACTAGAAAACATGGGATGATTATAATTATCTTTATCAAGCTTGTAAACCAAATACTGTGAATTACTGCTGCCTGTTTTACTTACTAATTCTTTTAAGGTTCAGTAGGCTTTGAAATGCCAGGTATAGTTTTATTCCAGGAAGAAATTAATTAACTAGATTGGAATTTGTCCAGGACCCCCAGGGGCTTTATACCTCTACACTTGCAAAAAATGCGATGGGATTTTTATTGACCACATGTGTTTAAAAGCTTAGTTTATCGGGGTGGGGAGAGAGAGACGACTGTGTACTTCCAACAGCACTATGTCCCTTAGAAATGTGCTTAACAGTATTGATCTGGAGGGAAGAGTGCCACCTACTGACACCATAGGGCCACCACTTCCTACACTTTCCTGGATTCCCTTAAAAATGATTTCAAGCCCATTATTGACCAAATCTGTTCCTATTTAACATGGAACAGGAAAGTAGAATAAAACCTACATTTTATTACTCTGAATTTTGTATGCAATTGGGTGTATACAGAAGATTTTGGGTTCTGCAAATTTTAGCATATTATTTCAGAAGATACAGGAGCAATATATGAAGACGGAACTTGGCTTCCAAGTCCTTTGCAACTAATATTTAATAATGTAAACAATGCAGTTCATGGTACTATTCCGTGGAACTACGGTTTCCTCTGCAAGGCATTTTAACTGATGTTTCCAAACATTGGTTTCAGTTGCCTAAGTAGTGACAGCATTTAAACTCTTAAGTCTATCTTCATGGTTTGCTTTTGTGTTTCAATAGTAGGAAGTTTAATTATAGGAAAACAGTAGCAAGGGAATGAATGTGTCACATTTGGGTCTTCTCCTGGGAATTATGTCTGGCCAGATTCCTATGAAAACCTGTTGCAGAAGTTTTGTGTGCATAGAAAATGGGAATATACATACAGTGCTTTTTTCTGGGGGGACGCAGGGGTACACATAACCCTAAATTTGTGAATCTTTGTACTTTTGTCCATTTGCTGTATTTATTCATCCCAATTTGAACTATAAAATGGTGATTTTCTTGCGTCAAAATGAGAGTACCCCTAAACATTTTTTAGAAAAAAGCACTGTGTGTGTGTATATATATATATATATATATATATATATACATACGGCTTTTCATTAAAAAAAATATCAAGAGTCATACATAAAACCATACAATAAAAACCATATAGAATTTAAAGCCAGAGATCCACTAACAACAAAAACAAAATTAATGGTGCATTAATATGGCCTTAATACTAATTTCATGAAGTTTGATTATTAATATGGTATTTATAATATCACAAATGCATACTGCATGAACAACTTGCTTTTATGTAAGTTATGTGGCACGCTGGTCAGCAATGCCAGATGTTGAACCATTCGTAACACTTTTCCAACTGCAGCCCATGCCAAGCACCCTATGAAGCCAATGGCCGCCTTGTTCCCCAATCCCTGCTCCCCAGACAGCTGCCTAGGACATACACTCCTAAATATGGTACTGTGCGATAGTTCTTCTCTGCCAGTACTCCAAATCCCTTCCTTTTTGGTTTTAACAGGGTGATGACAGAAACTTCGGGAAATGTGGATTTCTTCCTTCACCTAGGAATAATTCTTTCTAGTCTTACCATGACCAGTAACAATGTTTCCCTCAAAATTGCTTGGACGCTTCACCAAAGCAGGGCCCTGTGCTTCAAAAGTGCCCCGAAATTCCACCTCAACAAAATTTGTTGGCAACCTAACACAAACAGCAATCCTACTAAAGGATTCCTATAGCCCCAATCGAACTCTTTTGAAGCCAAGTACTGGAAGCCTATTGAAGACTATCTGCGTGAGCCCCATTTATCATGATTCTTTTTGTGCACAGGAGTACATACCCAAGTGTAAACAGATGTGGATCATGCCAAATGTTAACAGGACAATTGCTTATTTGTTGCTTTTCTCAACATTGCTGTGAGCGAGAATCTGATTCTTTCCCCGTTGACTGCCTGTCTGCCTCTCTCTCTCTCTCTCTCTCTCTCTCACACACACACACACACACACACACACACAAACAATATATACACAAGCTTGCTTTTACTGATCCCATATATTAGTTTGCCTAACCTCTTTACTGAACTTCTTTCTAAAACAACAACCATCTGCTAAACAACACATTAGTTCATATAAAGTTCATATAATATTAACACACAGTAAATGAAGCAGCAAATTAAATCAACTGATGTGGGCATGTATGGTTTGGGATCCAAAGAGCCACATGCACAATGAGGCTCTTCCAGTTCACATTTCCAGAGCAGCTCATTGTGCCTCCTTGAGAGGTCTTGAAAAGCCCCTTCTGAAGGGGCAAGGACAGAAGCAACATCTGACGTCATTGCCAGAAGTAGAAAAATGATCAAAACTGCTCTTCCATGAGCAACACTTCTCAGTCATGAGTGTGGATTCCTGCCATCAATGTTAAGAATATGAGGCAGTCCCTTGTGTCAAAAACCCCACTGTAAGATACACAGCAGTTTAGCCCTATATGCTGCAGCCCTGACTCAGGCTACATACTCAAGCTCATTTAATACATATATTCTCTACAGGAAAGCTTTATCTGGGTTGGCTAGTAAAGCATAACAGCAAATTAAGATTGTAATATTGAAATACTAATCTAAAAATACCTTTATCAGGTCAGCAAAAAATATCATTATCAGTTATCCAGATCAGATGAAGAATAAAATATTTGTGCCTGGGATTTAGATGTGGGGAAATAGTTAAGGCTTGCTGCTAAGAAACAGGAAAGACACAGTTATGGTTCCCATGCAGAACTTCTTCATCATATCTCCCCCTTCACAGACAGAATTAGAATCTCCTTTAAAGATTTGCTTACAGTAGCTTATCTGAGGTCTAGTACAATGACATTCCAATGAAATGATCAGTGACTCGTGCAACTTTGCTGTTCTTCCTCTGTTCTGTATCGTAAGGAAATGTATGGGATGCAAACACAAATACGTGACCATGATGTCTCAGAAGCTAGGGATGGTGGAGAATTTCGCAATAATCAAACTTTAATTTGAGCTCTGCTCTACACTGCTCACTCATTCACCCACTATGCAAGCCGATTGGTTTTCATGTGA